CACCTGCACCAACAACCGGGCCCTGGCCATCGGGCTCGGGGTGGGTCTCGGCCTGCTGGTCCTGCTGCTGGTTGTCATCGTGGTGGTGTTCGTCGTCGTCCGTCGCCGCCGTGGGGCCAAGAGCCGCTCCGGTGACATCGACATGAGCACCTTCGGCAACATCATCGGTACGCTTGCGCCATTTTGCTTCTTCCTCTTTTTTTTCCGGGCCCCCTCGCCCGCTCGTCGCCATGCGCTGTGTTTGCTAACCCACGCGCCACTCGTCAACACCCAGACTGATGGCCTGGCAGTGCTCTGGAGGCTGCGCATGCGTGGCCTCTCCGGTGCTGCGCCCGGGCTTGCCCCTCCCTCGGGGCCCGGGCGGCCACCATCGCCCGGGGGGCCCCTTCCTCCGGCAGAGTATCACACTCGGAGGGGGGGGTCCCGACCGCTTGAATATAAATGTCCCATGCACTCGCACGCGCCATGGTGCCGCGCCTGGTTCGCATTCGATTCTCCGCACGAGCAGCTGCCGGGGGGTGGGGTGCCGCTTTTCAACCGGACCGGGGGGGAGGGCGAGGGATCGCACCGGGGGCCGTTTCCGTGGGGGTTTTTTTTTTTCTTGGCCGCACGCCCGGCCGGTGCTCCGCGACCGGCATCCGCGCGGCTCGCCACCACCAGCCAGGCCGGCGGCCATGTTTGCTTGGCTTGTCCTTGGCGAGGGACCTGGCCAGCCCTCCCCATCGTAGGCCTGCCGCTTGGGGCAAAGCCGGGGGTCTTCTCCCGCCCTCCCCCTCTCTCTCTCTCTCTCTCCCCCTCTCTTTCGAGGGGCATGGGGGGGGGCCATGTCGCTGGGTATTGTTGTTGGCCCGGGTAGGGACGATGCCTTGCCAGGGGGCACATGGACCGGCCGGGCAGCAAGGGGGGGGGAGGCACGCACAATGCGCGCCGCCGCGCCGTGCCTCGGCATGCACGACGGGCCTCCACCTGGCAGCGCGGTGTGGCCCTGTGGCCGGGCGAATGGCGCCCGCGGATGCTGGCCAATGCCGCGCACTCGCTCGGGGGTCGGCGCTCGTCGCGCCACGGGGGCCCATGTGCATGGACCCCCAGGTGAGGGCTGCCCGGCAGCGCTGGCCACCGTGGCCGGCCCGGACCCAGTCACGCAAGGGCCCTTCCGCCGCCGGCGGCCGGAAGGTGTTCACCGATGGTCGGTATGCCGCTCGGATGTTGCCCTGCCGCTGGCAGCCAGCAAAGGACCGCCATCTTTGATGGCCGGACGAAAGTATGCGCTCGCGCATGTGCATATCCTGCCGGGGCCCCAACGGGGAGGCCGGTGCTCCTTTGCGCGGTGCCGGCGGGCCGCGCGCACGGGGAAGGGGGGCGTCCATGGGCGGAACTCGGCTCGCTGGACACGCCGGCGGCCATCCTCCCTGGCACCCGGCCGGGCGGGCCCACGCACCGACCGAGGAGCCCAGCACACGGGCCGCCGAAGCGGGGGCCTCCTCCGGCACTTCACCATCCATGAAACGCTCCGGTTCTGGTATGTGATTCTGGGGGACCGGTGAGGGCCTTCCCTGAACCACCCAGAGCGTTCCGTCCCGAGAGGGTCACCACTCGGACATGAATACAACAACAAAAGAAGGGAAAGCTGGTGATCTGCGTCTTTATGGGGATTACATCAGGGACTAGGTCACACCGCTCCAGAGGGAACGACGTACGGAGACAGGACTATAGGAAATCAAACCTCCGTAAGAGAGAATGACTATCCTTCAAGGTGCTGAGTCCTTGGAGGGGAGGCAGGAACGGGGGCCCCTTATATAGGGTGCCCAGAAAAGGGGGAATACATGGGAATACATGGGAATTGAGAGAGAATGGGTGGCGTCGCCGGAAGGGCGACGCCAGCACCCCCCAACGGGGAAGTGCAGGTCGACTAGTGGACCTCGTTGCTATACGATCACGTGAAGGTCATGACCAGATCTAGCAGGGATGTGGCAGCAGGGGGAAAACAGAGCAGGGCGAGGTGAGGCAGGTGCGGAGGAGGTGAGCGGAGCGAAGTTCCGACGCAATGTCGGAGGTGACATTATGGTTACAATCCAACAAAAGCTCCCGGCGCAGGCCGGACACATAACCGGTGGCCGCGTAGCTCAATTGGATAGAGCACCTGACTACGGATCAGGAGGTTGTGTGTTCGAGCCGCATCGTGGTCATACTTATTTTGCCCGGGCCCGGAGGGGGAGGCGGCCTGTCGCGCCGGGGTGTGTGTGTGTGTGTGCCCCGCCCCCCCCCCCCCCCACTCCACTCGCCTGTGTGTCTGTCACCTTGTGGACTGGAGCGGAGCGATCTCCAACAGCATGGAGACGC